CTTAGGTCGAGCCCGGGCATATCCTCAGGCCCCCAAGCAAAAACCATCTTGAATTCTGTCAGGACCTGGACTATCTTTACTCTCAGGTCGGTCGGAAGCCCTGCACCAATCTTGACCCATCGTTCTGGACGGGATGGATCGACTCCAACCTCCTCGAGCTCCGAGATGGGCTGAACTCTGAACTGCCCTTCCTCATATCTGGATAAGTCCAGCTCAATAGCATTGACCCTTATATCGTTTCCCCCGTGAGCTTTGCGGGCTCTTACATAACAGCTTCTGGCCATCTTCTGGTCTCCCTTCACCGTGCCTATTCCAGCCGGTGTATAGAATTTCATGCATAGATGAGCCTGGGAGATAATGGCTCCCAGGTCCTCCAACAGAGGTCGGCCCAGGATGGCCTTGTGTACGCTAGGCAGCTGAATAACGACAAAATTTCCTTTGATCAACCGGACACATGGTTCCGATCCAAGATGGATCTTGAGGGTGATTACCCCTTCCAGCTCGATTGTGTCTCCGGTAAAACCTGAAAGAGGGGTTTTTACCGGTCTGAGAGCTCCCTTCACGAGTCCGATCTCCAGGAAAGCATTCATGTACAGTATGTTGACCGAGCTGCAGTTGTCCCCAATCACTCTGTGAACAATTGCATCCGTGACTTTCATCTCAATCACCAAAGCATCCCTGTGAGGTGGGGGACATGGAGGGGAGGTCATCATTTGTGAAAGTGATGGACTCCCGCTTCTGCTTTTTGTCAGCAGGAAGACAGTTGATTTCCCCGACAAATAGTTGGCGACTCCGCTTCTTTCTTTCCCCCGCAGTGTCTCCTCCCATAGGTCTGCCATAGATTTGGTTGACATGCGGGCGCTTTTGCCGGCCTCAATCCTCTCCTTCATCATTATCCTCGAACTGGGCTCCGGTCTCCCTCTTTTTGGAAGTTGAGGTCGGCTCATTTTTTCCTTTGTTCCAGGTGTTCTTCCTTGGTGGGTGTTGTCCCTGCTGGCTTTTCTTCACAAACTGGTCCAGCTGCCCTTCACATATGAGCCTTTCCACATACTTCTTCAGAATGTAGCAATCGTCAGTTTGATGAGTATCGCTCTTGTGGAGCTTGCAATACTTACCATTAGTAGTCTGACTGTTGACAATGTTGCATCCCTCCGGGATCGTTAGCAAACCCTGCTTTGCCGCGTAATCCAGGATAGTACTCACCGGATGTGTCAATGATGAAAAATCAGACTCGCTGGATAGAGGTCCCTCGGGAACACCCGATTTGCTCTTTCCCCAACCCTTCTTCTTTTTCTTAGACCCGTTCCCCTTGTTTGAGTCATGGGTTTCCTTCTCTGAAGCCTTTTTCCTCCCATCCTCATGTTGGTGCTTTCTGGTCTCCTCTTCTCTCTTTCTTTTCTCAGCCTCTTCCACCTCTGCTTGCGCATTGGCACATAGTAACGCTTCCTCGTTTGAGGTCGGGGGTTTGCGCACATAGTCTTTGTATAATTCGTCCGACCTCGGGGCGTTGGTGAGGATGGCGATAGCGGATTTGTCATCTAGTTCGTCTACCTTCATTGATTCATCCCTCCACCGAGCTAGGAAGTCAACTAAGCTTTCCTGGGGGGCCTTTCTGAGAGAGAGTCTACAAATGGGCTACAAATGCATGATCCAACTCCCTGAAGTTTCGGAACCTTCCGTCAGGTAGAGAGTCATACCACTCTCGGTTTGGTCCGTCTAGGATCACTGAGAACCCCCTACACTTGATGGCATCGTCATATCCCATCATTACCATGTATGCCACATACCTGGAGACATGATGCTGAGGATCGGTCTTCCCTCGATAGGCCTCAATATTGCACGGCCTGTATCCCTGTGGCAATGGAGCGTTCATGATCTGGTGGGGGAACGGCTCGGGAATCCTCACATCATGATTGAGGTCGACCCTACCATCCACTTCCCTCCTGAGCTCGTCCAGTCTTCTTCTGAGGTCATCGTTGCCATGGCCCACCCGAGCGCTAGGTGGGGATCGGTGATCTCCGCGGGCCTGCCGGTTGGCATTGATCTCGACTCTGAGATCTCCCCCACGCGCGTTGTGGTGGTGGGATGAAACAGCCGCGGACGACGCTTCCTCACTTCGCTCAGCCCTGGATGAGATTCTATCATGCACAGAAGTCCTTTACCCACCAATTTGATCCATCACCGAGGTTCTTAGGGTCAGCCTAGAGTGATGGGACCGCTGAGACCGGGCTGGCGGAGAGTTCCTGCGTTGTTGCTCATGTCTCTCTTCCTCCCGCTGAGGCATTGATGGAGCCCGGTGAGGGGAAGGAGGTATTGTGTTAGCGTCAGGGATGATACCTTGAAAAGTGGTGGTCAGAGTCTCCACATCCCTCTAGAACGTTGCCAAACTTGCCAAGGCTTGGGCCGGATCGACGTTGGGGATGAGGTTTCCGGTTCCCGGGGTCTGGAACTGCGGTGGTCGCACCGTCGTGCGCCTGGAACTCCCAACACCATGGAGATGATTTCTCAAATCACCCTGAACCGCTGTGTTGTCGTTGCGCCTCCGGAAATCACTTTGCCGTGACCTAGAACCTTCGTCCTCGATCACGACCTGATTGAAACGATCGCCACCTTGATCGCTACCCATGCGGTTGTGACTATTTGATCCAACCATCGTCATCGCAGATCGTACTCTCAACGAGAGCATCAAATAATGGAGTTTAATCCAACTACGAGAGCTATATCTACGAAAGCAGATGGAAATATGGCAGCGTAAGGCAATATTCTTTATTCCGGAGTTCGGCCCTTTGATAGGAAACATACAGGAAGTATTTATAGACTATAGGAACTAGTATTCTAGGAGGAAATTGGTACAATAAATGTTATTAATTACATATTTAATCGGATAGGACTCCTGTAACGTCTTGGACGTTGTGCAATTATTGTTCATTTAAGTCCACGTTCCTGCCGTTATTTTCTGCTTGCTGCCAGATAGCTATGCACGAATGATAGCGTGCCACGTAAGCCCTAGGAATATTCCGACCTCACTAGAATTCCACCCAGGCTTGAGGTCTGCCGTCCAGCCTGACCTGGTTGTGGGTTCCTTTCGTGAGTCTGATTCCTAATTAGGCCCAGCGGTTATTTAATACTTATCCTGTTTATGGGTTGATCCCGTTTAAGGGCTAATCCCGTTATGGGATGATCCCATTTGAGGGCTTGATCTCGTTATAGGTTAATCCTATTGAAGGCTTGATCCCGTTATGGACTTCGTCTGTACTTCCGTAATTGGGACATGGTTAGAGTCCATGGTACCATCACATAAATTCCACTTTCTAAAGGACAAAATAGCAAGGGAGGTGCTTCTGTGAGCCATAAGTAGTAGGAGTGCCTATCCAATTAAGTTTCCTTTTTCTCCACTAGTTTCTTTAGCTACCATTGTTGTGTCTCGACCAATCTGGTATCGTCATCCTGGACACTATGGTACTCATGTTTTAGAATACAAACTTTTCTCGTGTTAGTGTATATTGTCGTCTAGGAAAGTCATAATGGTTACCTTTGCAGGATGTTTATCATAATTCATTACCACATTTGCATTTAGTTAATTCATATATGTGACAATCTTATGTGCACTATGATCTAGATTTTCATTATTATGTTTGTTTTGTGGATGATTTTTCTCATTTTACATGGATATATTCCTTTTGATGCAAGCAGAGTTCTTAATAAGTTTACTCATTTAAAAAACATGGTGCAAAACTTACTTGATGCTAGAATTAAAAACATTAAAAGTGATTGAGGAATGAATTTTATAATCACCATATGCATTATTTGGTTCTTTAGTTTAGTGATTGATTATTCATTTTAGAAACTCTTATGCGGACACACCGCGACAACAGTAAATTGGGACTCAAACGTTGCCATTTACTTGAATGAGTTTGTGCCATGCTCTTCTTTGTAGCTTAGTTATTCTCAAACTATCAAATTTTCATTCTTAGGGAATTTTTGAATGTTTATGCCATTCTGATTTTAATGCCACTTCTTCAAAATGAATTTTCACTTCATTCAGTTCAGTGTGTTTTTCTTGACTATGTATCAAAATATAAGGAATATCTTTGTTTTGATCCTTAAATAAGTAGATTATATGTGAGTAGGAATGCTTATTTTTATTAAAATATTGAAAGTAAATATGAGAATGTTAAAAATGAATATCATGTTTAGCGTGATGCGTATTGTCATGCTTAACATAATAAAAAGAGTGACAAAGACCACAATTTTTTATTTAAATCACGAAGGAGATGAATTTGAGAGAACTTTTCCAAATGTTAGTCATCTATGTAAGTGTGGGTTTAAATTCTTGCTCAAAGTGACATTGTTTGATCAATCAAAGGTGGCTCACCATGGAACTATTTAAGGAACTACGGAAGGACTTGAGAACGTATGAAGTCAATCAATTACAAGTAACTTCTAGCTAGGGGTGGACTCGGATCCGGGCCGGGTCCGGGTCGGGCCTAGGCCCGGGCGGGCCGGCGGTTCAAGAATGGTAGACCCGGGACCAGCCCGGGTAGCCACCGGGTCCGGGCCGGGTCCGGGCCGGGCCGGGCCGGGCCTCCGGTTTAGTTTTTTTTTTTTTTTTTTGCTTTCCTAACCCCCCCCCCCTCACCCCCCCCACCCTCCCAAACCCCCCCAAACCCATCAAGCCCAACCCGGGTGGAACCCCAAAAATGAAAAAAAAATAAAAAAAAATTCAATTTGGCCCGGGCCCGGACCCGAGAACCGGGCCGGTCCCGCACAGTAGCGGGCCGGGTGGCCCGACCCGAGTCCAAGCCTACTTCTAGCCCGTAGTGACATATAGATGCACATTGGGACCCTAACAGTTTTTTTAGCTGCTCTTATTTTTGGATGGGTTCTTAGGAACTCGAGACTAGTGTTATGAAGTTGAAGTCATCTAATGTTAACAAAAGAGGATGATAAGAACATACAACAACCACAATAACATCCAAACTTTAATTCCAAAAGATGACGAGAACATGAAAAAGGATAATTAGGAAAAGATATCCTCATTTTTTGATAAAGGAAAGATATCCTCTTTTTTTTTATAAAGGAAAGATATCCTCATTTAAATGGTTCAAATAATTTTATTCGTTTAGTTCGACTTTCCTCCCTCTTACATCTAAAGATCTCCAACCAAACAAGAACTATTTGGTTCAGTTTAGTTCCATGCGCAACAAAGTCATCTCTACTATCTTTGGCGAATATCATACATCCTTGTCAAGAGCTAATGGAAAAACCACAGGCCTATATACGCTTCAAGCATACAGGGGATCCACATGAAAGGGTGAATGGTCTACTACTAAAGTTCATCTCTACTAACTTCTGGTGAGAGAAGATCAATCCCAGCTAAATAATTCAACCATGGCTGTGAACAAGTCTTAACTAAAACTCTCCTCCTTGCTTGGACTTCACGAAAAAAAGAATAGCAACATTCCAAGTCCGTCAAATAGTGAATCTGCCAGCTGCTTCCTCCCTAAAACATGCAGTTTTCTAGGAGGCACACTCAAAAGTGCTCAATATTTACCTCTTAAAGGAAAACCCATGTTTCATAGCTTCTTGTGCCTGCTTTAGCAGAGGTGCAGAACAACTATCTTGAAAGCCAGAAGCCAATCTATCAGCCTTGATCATCATGTACCGATTTCATCTCACATTTACTCTTGGCCTCTTGTATCTTTCACTGTTTAAGTAACTATCTGGTTGATTGCCATAATTATTGGTTCTGGGACCTGAATTAGAAAATCCTCCTCTACCACTTCTCAAATTCTTAGATGACTCACCACATCTGGAATCTGTTCTAGACCAGTCTTTATTATCTCGAATGCTCTTACCATTCCTATGAAATTCCCTTGATCTCCTATTAGAGTCATCTGCAAAATAGTTTCGTGTCTTAGAAACCCTGTCACAGCAGTCAGCAGAACTGGAACTGCCCCTTTGACCTCTCTGCCTGCTTCTACGATAATTTAGGTCATCATCATCAGTCTCTATATCAGAGGAATGCTCATATTTATTATTTGAGCTTCCTCTACCCCCAAACTCCCTATTGGATTTAATTCCTTTCTTGTGTCGGCTTCTGATATCATCATCGCTGTCATCTGACTCAAAACTAGAAGAATGCCTAGTAAACGTTCTTTGTTTAGAGCTCTCAATATCAGAGGAATGCTCATATTTATTATTTGAGCTTCCTCTACCCCCAAACTCCCTATGGGCTTTCATTCCTTTCTTGTGTCGGCTTCTGATATCATCATCGCTGTCATCTGAATCTAAACTAGAAGAATGCCTAGTAAACGTTCTTTGTTTAGAGCTGGATAAATGACCATGTTTCCATTTTTTATAAATTGGACGTTCATTGTCAGAATCAAAATCAATGTCAGAATCTTCAGAGCTAGGCAAAGTGGCTTTGTCAGGCATTGACTTGGAAATTCGACCAGACATAGAGTTTTTGTGGTGACGACCAAGCATATTATTATCATTAGCATCCAAATCTTCATCTTCAGAGTTATCTTCAAGATCTGAGTAATTGATTTGAGAACTTTTATGCATGGCATTTTGAGTATCTACTTCATAACTGTCAACATCATCTTCCTCATCATCAAAATCATTAAATCCTACTCCTGGCTGCTGGGGTCTGGAATAATCTGTCTCGTACTCCCTTGGAGGCTTAGAAACTGCATTGTGTGCTTGCTTGTCTAGTGGAAAATCAACATCTAGTTTATGAGAATCTGCATACTCAAAGGCAGCGACATCAGCACCATCTGACTCGTCATCATCAAAGTTAAAATTCCAAGCATTAGAGACATCGTGTCGAGCAACCCTATTTGGCATCTTCTCATCTAAATCCATCCTGCGATTATTTTGCCTCTCCTTAAGTTGACTTCCAGTATAATCATCAGGTGGGCGCTTGCATTCACAATGAAAGCATGCCACATTTCTCCGATAGTTTAAGAAATTGCACCTAGAAGGCAAAAATAAGTACAAAGACATCAAATATTGCACCTGGTGGCATAATCTAGGAGGGTGTAGGTACTTTAAAATTATAATGTCACTAACTGGTCTGTAGAAATTTTCCCAGGTAAGTAAAGCTGACATTCAAAATCCAAATTCCGAAAATGAAGCATGATGAAATGGATTCCAACTCAGTACTTTTACATTAAACAAGTGAAATACCAAAGTCAAATCAGATTACATTAGTCCATAATGACCTACCACAACCTCTATACAATACGAAGTATTAGAATAGCTACACCTAAGTAGGGGTGTCCCCGGTTCAGAACCAAACCACTTCGGAAACCGAACCGCCGGTTTGCGGGTCCAAATTTTGGGGAACCAGAACCGCCCAGTACCGGTTCCAAAACTGGCAGTTCCGGTACCAATCCGGTTCGGTTTTCCTGTTCAAATTTTAATTTTTTAGAAATTAAATAAACTTTGGTTGATTTTTTTAAAATAAATTAATAAAAAGGGTTCCCTAAAAATTATTAAGAGAACTAATATCTATCATTGTTATAATCAAGTACAATAATAAGATAGTTAATAGCTTATTAGTTTTTACAAGAATAGCTAAGTTCCAAAGTACTTATAAATGAGGTTGTAAAAATCTATAAGCTAGATATTTTAAAATAATTTAGTTATTAATAAATTATGAATACTTGTTAGTTGTTACTAATAATTTTAATAAAAAGTATTTTAACTAGTAGTAACTAGTAACTATGCAGTATTATAATTCTTATTACTGTTATTAGTACAACTAATACTATTATGATTATTCTTATTAATATTATTATTATTGGTATTTTTTGAAAAAAACAGTATTATTAATAATAATATTATTATTAAAAATTTAATATTTAATTTAAAAAGAGGTTCCAACCGGAACCGTCCGGTTCCAAACTGGAACCTCCGGTCCTGGTTCCAATTTTCGGAAGAACCGAACCGGACTAGTAAACCTCCGGTTCCAAACCGGAAGTACTATGTGTTCAGGTTCAAAAACCGGCGGTTCCATTTTAACCGGAAACCGCAGACAGACTACACCTAAGGAACCACAACATCATATCTCCCCCACTGACTCCAAATTACTTTTGCAGCATTATTCAGTAAAATACCGGGAAATGAAGATGATACTGGAATTAGAGGTGTCCCCAAACGGCCAAACCGGAACCGAACCGTCGGTTCGCGGTTCCCAATTTTAAGGAACCGGGACCCGAACCGCACAGTACTGGTTCCAATTTTTGAGAAAACCGAACCGGATTAGTAAACCTCCGGTTCCAAACCATAAGTACTATGTGGTTCCGGTTAAGTTCCAGTTCAATAACCGGCGGTTCCGGTTCCTGTTTAACCTCTGAGGTTAATCTTTTAGAATGAAGATACTAGTCTTACTATCATATCAAAGTCAGGTCTAATTGTGGTTTGTATATTTATTCGGCCTCCCTAGTTAAGGGCATGCTGAAACATTGTCTTACATTGGTTGAAAATAAAATAATAAACCAACATATACGATCTTGGAATACTTCTAACTCCTAAGATTAACTTTTTGTACATTGGTTTGTTTGTTTGTATTTGGCATGCAGGATTAAGCGTAGTCTACGAGAGATCTATTTCATCCATTTGTCCTCCCTAATGTTGTCCAGCTCAGTTTTGTCTAAGGAAGCATGTTGAAGTGTTTGTGTGACATCGGATAAATATAAAAATAAGATAGTGGACTACTTTTCATATTAGGTTAATACTTTAGAATAAAACTCCTGGTCATAATATGAATTTAAAAGTGTATCCAACTATGGTAAAGGCAACCAATAAGATTCAAAGTCATTCATCTGTCCCTGCATTAACCCGCACATTTTCTTGTGCAAATGGCATAGAAATATAATATTAAAAGCTCTTATCACCAAGACTGCATCATTAATACATATTTTTGGACAATTCAGGTTCTTATCCATCATGCTATTCAGAAAAGGCACACATACTTTCATAACATTATTTTGCCATTTAATTTATCTCAATCAGTATTACATTATAATTATTCCATGCATCTTTATGTGTGTGTCCAAATGTCTTTTAACAGTAAATATGTATATCAATATTGAAATAGCATTTAGTATACGTGATCGAAGCAACTGAACAAGTAAGGTTTGCATACCACATTCCATATTAGCATACCACATAATCTACCTCCTAATGTACCCATAAAATAAAGTTGCAATATATTCCTCTGTACAGACCGGCCCGGACCATGAACCGGAACTTCCAGAACTTCTGGTTACTTCCAAACAATTGCAAACAGTTCTCCTTTATCCTGTCCTTGCCCTGGGCAGGATGAAGTGTATTTTATTTTCTTTTTATCACCTTGTTCCTATTTTTAATTGAAGAAGTGTTGAAGCTCAGCTCTGCAGACATTGGAGCCTGTTATTGTAATTTATGTTTCATTTAGGTTAGTTTAATACACATTAACGAGAAAGACTGGTTCAAACCGACTACAGTAGTCTATAAAATCCAACTGGAGCAAACAACAAATAGAAGCAACATTTGAATGTACAAGAATGATGTGTCCCCTTACTAAGCCAACTTTTTTTCACAGCATAAATAAATAAATTACAAGCAAGTATATAAGTCGTGCGGAGATGAGAAAGCAAGATAGGTACATACTGGGGACATTCCCATTCTCCTGGAAGCAGCTGTCTCTTAGGACGCTTGGCATCACATTGTAAGCACACAGTATTCTTGGCGAAGTTCATAAAGTCACATCTGAGAGCAAACTTTATTATCAATTAAAAGGAAACTGTAGAGATACTTAATTATATATGCATGGACTCTTAATTACAAAACTTCAATCGTGATATAATATAAATACATACTCGAGCAGTTTTAATTAGTTAAAAGAAGAAGGTGATCATCTGAAAGACTGAAACCCAACCATTAGATTATAAATATGAAAGCTGATTTAATAGACCCCTAATTTGGAAATAGTAGAAAACTAAACCCCTAAAAGTGCAGCACATGAATACAATGTTAGTAAAATATAGGGAAGTTCGGGTTGGATTAGTTCCGTAGCAGGAGAGATATCATCAGAATAAAAGACATCATGCAAGAAAATAGGATTTAAAATGCTTAATAAAGATTGCTGAAGAACAAACTTCATGTCATCACAGTCCTAACTATATTAGGACTTAGGGTCAGTCTTTTGGAACGTATACTATTAAACAATTGGTTTCAATTAGTTAACACTTCAAATCCATGCAAAGCATAAAGGAATATGATTGAGCTTACTTTGGACATAGCCAATCTCCTTTCTTCATTTCAACGTCATCACGCCCAACACGTTTCTTAGGAGTAGGTGGTGGCTGTTTGACTTTGGGTGGGGGCTTTTTTATAATAGGAGGTGGAAGATTTGGATCTATTGGAACAGCACTTATCTTGACCACATCATGAAGCAATTTTCGAATAACACTCTTCACAGCTTTCATCTTCAAAAGAGACTTATTAGCAACTGAACCATTCACCGGATCAAAGGCATAAGCCAATAGAACACGCATAACATCAATAGTCCTAGCCTCATCCTCCTTATTTGTGAGTAGGTATGCTTTTTCACAAGTGCTCCTCAAACTGCAGGAACTACAAACCTGGATACATGTACAGTAATTGAACCATGAATATAATATAATAAGCGTACTAGCCTAGAAGGAAGCAAGGAAACAAAAGAAAACCATGCTTACTTAGTGAAAAGCAAGTAGAGATAAAATTAAGAAGAAGAACAAACTAAGATCACATCCATACATACATCTCCTTCGTCCAGATGGACATATTTCCTCAATAGTTTGGCTGAAAAAACAAGCCTCTTATCTGCACTGGGGCACCCATAGCCAACAAGTATTTGTATATCCTGTCGGGGCAATGCCCTGAAATCAATTATTGCAGAAAAATAATCAGCCAACCACTGTAGTTGTCATTTGGCTTTCATATTTGATTTCTTCATTCAAATAGCTAACATTTAAAAATCTAACTGCATTCATCAGTTGAAATTGATTAAAATCCACATCACTAAGAGCATTCGTGTATCAAATAATAAGAGAGACCTTAAGACATCAAATCTGTCGCGACCAAAATTGAGAACAGCAGTCTCAACAGTCTTCCAATCCCTAGTAAAGTCGAGCCCTTCCTGTTCTGCAACAGCAGAAACACTGAAGCCTGAGTCCGCAATCATCCTGTCCTCGTCTTTTCTCATATGATCAAAGTAATTTTGCTGCACCAGCCTCTCCATAAGCTCAACCCACTCCGGCCACGGGTGAACCAACTCCACCTGCTTAGCCATCAAGCCGCCTTGACCAACAGCAGAACACTTCTCCTTCTCCGGACCCATCTCCTTCCACTCATCAGGAGCCGAACCCTGAGCTTCCGTTTGCGGGTGGGGTTGGGGTTGTGATAGACTTGACTTCTTGGATTCACGCCAGGCGCGTATGCGTTGGAGTGTCTGGTCTTTTTCCACCCGCTCCTCCTGGATGGCGTCAATTTGATCAAAGACAAAGCGCATCCGGGCGGACAGCGAAGACGGTTCTGAAGGGGCGTTAGTGGAAGGGGCAGAGGAGAGAAATGGGCGGCGCTGTAGCGAGAGAGGGATGAAGGGTTTTGGGTTTTGGGGAAATATACGTCTGAGAATAACTGTTACGGCCATTTTTCGTGAAAAGAGAGGAACGTAAGAGAGGGCTCAGTCAGTCCCTCGCCTATTCATCCATCCTCGGACCCGAGACCATGCTAAACAACGGATCCTTATTCAATGCAGCTGAATACTCCCTCTGTCCCCTTTTAAATGTCCCGGAAGAGGGTGGCACGAGTTTTAAGAAAAGTAGGTTTGTGTGGTTGATATTAATAGATAAAGTAAGAATAAAGTAAGAATGATTTTGAGCCACACAAACTTTACCAAATAAGGTATGAGACAATTAAATAGGGACATCCCAATATGGTAAAATGGGACATTTAAAAGGGGACGAAGGGAGTAATAAATAAAAGCAAATGAGCCGAGCAGCTCGTGAGATGCTCGGTCAAAACTCGAATCGAGTTCGGTCAAACTTGATATCGAATCCGGCTCGTTAAACAGTTGAACTATAAATGAGCCTACTAATTTTAGGCTCGCTAGCTCGTGAGCCGGTTCACGAGCCTAGTTTTATATGTGTGTATATTTATACATTTAATATATATATATATATATATATATATATAATATAAATTAATATATATGTAATACCGATTGGTAAACGTATATGAGGATCGGAAAGATATTATATTTTCCGTTCCCGTAACTCTAGTTTCAGTTAAATCATCATGGTTTGATCATTTTTTATTTATTTTGGACAACATTTGATTTACTTTTAGTTGATGGGCATGTAAATTTCAATTTGCAAATACTAAGCACACATATTCAAAGATTGTTTCATACTTGAGCTCGAGTTCGAATCCGAACTTTCGAGCTAATCAAACGTGTAACATTTGAGTTGACGAACCAAAATTATCGAGTCGAGTCGAGCCATGCCAATATCTGCGAGTCGAGCTCGAGTCTGGATTTTTTAAGCTCGTTAGAGCCGAGCTCGAACTTGAGCTAATACAATATATTTCGAGCTTATATAAACTTGAGCTCGGCTCGTTTGCACCCCTACTTAAAACATGTGATGTTTTGTCACCTTTTAGTTTTAAAGAATTAAAGACCTACAAGTGACATTTTAAAACAATGATTTGTTTGAAATGAATTATCACTTTAAAAACAACTCTCACCCTCCCGAGTTTAAACTTCTCCCTTATCTCTTTTAGGTGGTTTAGTTAAAGTTAAGGATGGCGATGGGGGCGGGACCTCATGGGGAACCGCCCCGTGGGGGGTTGGGGGTTGGGCGGGTGATGGGGCGGGTGTGGGGATGGGGGAATTATTTCCTCCCTCTTAAATATGGGGCGGGTGATGGTATGCGCCCCCTGCATCGTCCTCACTCCGTCCCCCGTATATATACACGTATTAATAATTAATACTACCTCCGTCTCAAAAAACTTTGTCATTTCAAAAAATGTGAACATTGATTTTGATTAGTATAATATTATGGAAATTATAAATTTTATACTTTTATGAAAGTACTTTTAACAACGAACATTTTCATATAATTTTAATATCATAAATAATTTTCAATAAAAAGATATAATCGGTCAAAGTTTTGAAAATAGCGAAGTTTTTTGGGACAGAGGTGGTAATAACAATCACAATAATTATAATAATATAATACTAATACGAAGTAATTAAAATAGCATGGTGACCCGATGAGTTTAGCTGTTTCCAATCTAATGGACTGTGCCTAATGGATCTATCTAATTTTTGTTTAATAACTCAGATATCTTATAAATTGGTTATCAAAATCATACTATCTCCGTCCCTTAAAACCTTGTCAAGCTTGACCGGCTCGAGGATTAATAAAGTAAAAATTGTATGGTAGAGGTCCGTGCAGAGGAGAAAGAATCAACTGAAACCATAAATTCTTTACTTAGAAGGAAAAGAGGCAAAGTTAGTGAGACAACCATAAAAGGAAAGTTGACAAAGATTTAAAGGACGCAGGGAGTATCAAGTAAATTAAAATGAATTTGGGGAAGTTATAAAGTAATATTAGCTTGAATGCCTCGTGCACGGTGTAAATGTTTTCTTCTTTTACTATTATAGTGCATTAATTCTTTTCTTATGAATGTCATATTTATGATTGTAGTTAGGACTCTTAAAAATCTGATGACCATATGTCGTCATAAATGTTGTCAAATGATTGTGGTTGATTGAATGCTTTGATAAAATGACTAAATCAAAACGTGTATAATGTGTTCTTGATTTGAAACGGGATGTAAGATTACATTGACACTTGAAAACTAAAAGGGGTTTTGGCTACGTACTAGAAGCGTTATTTGATTTTTGAAAAAATGTGTGGGTCTAAAATAATGTTATTTTTTGACAAATATTTTTCCCGCTGAGTACCCGTGGGTCTAGCGGGTTGGGGCGGGGGATGGGGCGGGTCGAATAGTAGTGGGGGATGGATCAGGGTGGGGTGATTTTTAGACACGGGACGGGGATGGGGGAGTGAACCCCCGCCCCATTGCCATCCCTAGTTAAAGGTTCTCAATTGCTATTTTAGAAAACAACTAATGCTCTTAAATAATAAATTGATCAATTAAATACTACTACTACAATGTAATAAGAATATTTTTTATTTGGACATACTACGTATTTTTTTGGTCTGATTTGTTTAAGTTTGATCTGATCTGGCTGGTAGATGTTTGGTTTATGGTGTCAACATACGTTATAACTGCATTAATTTGGTCTATTCTAATCTAGTTTAAAACTGAAATAAGCCCAAACAAAAACATCCTAAAAATAATAGAGTACCTAGTATATATCCATAACATCACGATTCATCATCGTTTATATGTTATATAATCATCAAAATTACCTCTCAACTATATTTGAAATACATTATTTAATTAATTTATTATTATGAAGGAATTCAACATATCAAACACTACCTTTTCATCGGAGGTAGTACTTGGCAAAATTCAAGAGCAGGGCTACGCTAACTTTTCATAACACTATGGCCTTTACTTTTTAAAATTAATTTTTACCTAGGAGTATCAACTTTTAATATTAATATTTTTTCATATAATTCTAAAACAAAACACTTTTCAAAAATGGAAGCAAATGCAACATTCACCAAGTCATGTTTGGTGGAATAAATTATACTTAATTATATGAGTATCTCATTAGTTCCACAATTGGTTCACATTATTATTTTTGATTACAAATGATCATGAAACATTAATAAAGTATTAAAAGTGAACAAAATAAAGAAAGTTTACTAAATGTGAAATCGACACTCCAAAAATTTGGTATAATAAGTGACGATTTAAAACTGTAGTCAACGTTAAAAAACACAACGTTTATAAATTGCTCCCAAAATAGTTTATAAATTTTTAAAATAACTCCCAAAAAATGTTGTAATAATACACATACAACCAAGTGCATGTTTGGCACGATTGGCTGGGAGATAATTTTTGAAAGTTTTAATAATTGTTAAATATACAATAGATTACTATGGAGTACAATTTTATCATATTAAAATCATAATAATTATACTTTCACAATTATTTTTGTAATAATGACGCTAATTTCCTTATTATGAATGTCGAAAATGATTAATTCATTTATTTTTCAAAAATACTCCGTAACAAATAATTAGCCCCTCGATCATATCTACTTTTTTATAAGTTGCCACTTTTTTTTAGGAATATAAAGTGCCCAGTTTTAAAAACGAAAATGTGTTACAAATTTATTCAAGTTATACTATAAGTATATGTACTATCATAAAAACTCTTACAAAAGATGTACCGAATATGTAATAGCATTATACGTAGTATTATTTAATATATTATGTCACTTTTACATGAAAACTAATGACAATAATTACACAATTTATTTGTAAGTTTTTTTTATAAGTTTGTTCCTAGTCATACCATTTTTATATTATAAATTGTCTAAATAGAAGCAAAAACGTTTTGAAATTCCAAAATAAGAGTATCATGTTTTATAAGTATCATGTTTTTTATTACCTAAATAGGAGTAATCTGCCAAGTTTAGAAAAAATGCCATGTTATAAAGCCTAATAATGCCAAACTTGGCAGAAATTTACTCATATTTAAAGAATAAGAAACATGATACTCTTATTTTGAAATTTCACAACCATTCTTGATGTACACACCCTTGTACACACCTTGTACACACCATGTTTGTGAAGTTTTTTTTTGTCTGTGAATCTGGTTCACAGACAATATTTTGTTTATGCAAAACATTGTCTGTGAATCGATGTTCACAGACAAAAAAAAAACTTTCACAGACATAGGTGTGTACAAAAGTGTGTACAAACATCATTTTTGAAATTTCAAAACTTTTTTACTCCTATTTAAAGAATTCTGTGTTTTTATATTTGTTCAAGTATTTGCTATTCGGTTGCCTCTTCCTATTTTTTTTTTGATAATCCAGGTGTCGGGGCTTACGCTCCCATAATCCTGGAGTCTATGAACTACCCTCCAAAGCCCCTAGACAGTTAAATCCGGATCTGATCACAGTCAGCCTCGTCAGTACTGGCTCCAAAGGACGAATCCAGCAGGACTTACATCACCTTTCAGGCTGCTCCTCCCACCACACGAACCCGCTACCTTCATTACCATCCTCTCCCTTCTCAGCCGCTGAGCAACTCCGTGAAGGTAGGAAGAATCATTGGGAACAAGAGCTCCCTCCTCTCCTCTAAATGTGCCTAGCGGAATTCGAAACCGAGATCTCCGCTAGGACACGGGAAACTTCCACCCAGTGAGCTGGAATGGTTGGTTTCGGTTGCCTCTTCCTAATATCGGACCGACCGTATGATAGTAATATGAAATCCGATCGAAGTGATATGGTCGGTCGGATTCTGCTCTCCGTACTTTCTTCCAGGGGGAAAACACAACCGATGCAGGCTATTTCGAAAAAATTGTCCTTATAATGTTTTATTTGATCCACGAGCGAAGTACGGTGGAGAGAGGGAGGAGAGAATCTGAAGGCTATTTTGAGCCTATCATCAGAGGTTATGGCGGAAGACGACGATGAGAGCTTCGGAGACTTCTCATTCGCTCCTTATCCTCCCAAACCCACCGTCGATGCCCAAACAAATGCCCAAAAACCACCGCTAACCGCCATTGATGCTGATAACAATTTGGAGGGTGATGAGTGGGGACATTTTGTGGATGGGTCACAAGGATCGAATCTCTCAGAAGGACCATCTCAACCTGACCCGTTTGTTGTCTTCTCCACTCACGGATTTCAGCATCCGACGCCATCAACTCGGTTGCGTGAGCAGGTGACGAGCCAAATTAAGTCGCCTGAGACTCCTCAGTGGGTGAAGCCCACAGGCGCTTTGCCGCTTTCTTTGTTCGGAGAAGAAGAGGACGATGAGAAACATGTTATGGGAGTGGAATCTGCGCTGATTGAAACTCAATTTGCTAAAGAAGAAACTAATAAACTGAGCAATGGATCTAACACTGGTTCCAGTATTGGACTGAACGATATTCTCGCGGACTTATACAATCACAGTCCAAAGTTCCAATCTGGAAATCCTGCTTCAAATGCTAGCGTATCTGGTAACCTGATCTTTAATTTGGACTCAAGTAAATTCGATTTGACCCTGGGTTCGTCTGCCCGGGAGGAAGACTCAACTGACGTTATTAATTTGGATTGGAACATAGCTACGCCCAAATCAAATTCCCTATCAGTTGGATCGATTTCTACTGAAAGCAGTAGGGATTTGAATAAATTTTGTTCGGAACAGACAGGATTTCAATCAAATATGAGTGTTGATGTAATTGAATTGAGTGAGAGGATAAATAATGTGGATGGAGTGCATAGCGTGAAGATAGATGTTTGCAGCTCAGACACAACTGTATCAAGTTACGGTGGCTGGGGACTTGACTTTGGTGGTTTTGGACCATCCCCTAAAACTTTGAATTCAAGCTTTAGTAGGCTGAATTCAAATTCAGATGCCACAGTTGCTTGTGAAAAGTCAGATGCTAAAAACACTAATAGTGATTGTGATGGTGATGGTGATGGTGATGGTGATGGTGATGGTGATGGTGATGGTGATGGTGATGATGATGATGATGATGATGATGATGATGATGGATGGGAGTTCAAGGATGCATGTACTGAAGGAAGGGAAATGGGTACAAAAAATAAGGTATGAGATTGAAACTTTAATTTATAATGATTCTGCTGTGCTATGTGAATTCATCTCTTATATCAGTTCCATACTTGCATTGATCTTTGTATTAGGCAGGAGTGGATTGTAGCTGTATTTTCTGAAATACACATCTAAATGTACAACTTATGCACATTAAGGTCTCTTATTACATCTGTTGTAATGATTCTAATTATTATTAAGTTCAAATAAGAGTACAATATATTCTATTTGGTTCGAGATTCAAATTCTTATAAAAGACTAGAACTATAAGTATTCATGGAAGAATATCTAGCTTGATTTATTTCAAATATTCTTGAAGTACATCAATATTATTATTAGAGAAATTTCTTGAAGTAAGAGTAAAAACAATGTGAAATTCCAAAATAGGATTAATATGTGTTACCTAAATAGGAGTCATTTCTGTCATACTAAAAAAATAATGACATATTTTGGCATTACGTGTTGGTAATTATTCCTATTTATGGAAAAAAACATAACACTTTTTTTTGGAATTTCACTTTGTTTTTACTTCTATTTAGAACAACTTACTTTATGATTATTGTGTTATGTCTTGCCAAGTGAAGAAATATATAATGTGACTATATTGTTTGATAATTTTGCGTTGTTTAGATTTCAATTTATTTTGCACTTGTATCATAATTTATAGAAGAATTAGAATTATGGGTGGTTTGTATTAAAGATAATTGAATAAACTCAAGTACAACAACAACAACATTACCCCACTACCGCAAAGGTTTCCACCTACGGTGGGGTAAGGAGGTCGGATGTGCGCAGCCTTACCCCTGTACTAAAGCACAGAGAGACTGTTTCCGGATGACCCATGACGAAAATCGCAGTGAAAATTGCATGAACTGATTGTTGCTTCATAACAAAGCACATACGGTTTAGTGAGTCATTTTGCTGTATTCCATGAGGTTCTCAAGCCAAAAAATTGTGAGTCTCTGGCTCCATTGGAAATGATGGAAAATAATTGAATAAACTCAAGAATGTTTAAAAAATATAGTTGAATTGAATTACGATTTTTTTTTTATTTGCTTTCAAATGCCCAATGAATATGAGTGTTCTCAAATGTAGTGGAACCCAAATCAAATGTGTGAATACTTAATACTGGATTTGATCTTAGGCTTGGTTATACAGTTTTATTGCATAATATGCTACTATATATATCTTGTGTTCATGGCATATTCTTTATCTCCCTAGTCCCTACTAATTACAAATTTACAAGATACATGGGATAAAATTCTAGTAGTATATCTGTAAGGCCATTAAGTTTGGTCCTCAGATCCTTCATGCAGGTGGACCTCTAATCATATATCTGGTATTCATTCCACAGTTTTTTTCTAACCTTATCCACTTATCCAGTCACAATCCTTTTGTTGTTTGTGACTTGAGCTAATGGATTGAAAACTCCTGCTATTGCTAAGGGTCGTGGTTCAGTATTGGCATATGTAGTTCTTGACTCTGTGCTATATGCTCCTGCTAGCTCATTCAACCTTCACTCTCTTAGTAAACTTACCCAAGATTAGCACATAAGAGCAGAGCTCTATCGTCAATGTTCAATATTTGGATTTTTTTTAAAGAAAGTCTCCGTTGACATCCCTAACTTTTCTACGTTGAAGTGTTACACATTTTGTCATTGAATGAGTAGAAATGAAAAATGTCATCTATGCATAGTGATTTGCTTGTATCCAGACAGTAAACAAGATTTGAAGGGGCAAAACATGGGTACCAACTCCTGAGAGGAAGTTCTCATAACAAACCATCAGAAAATAAGTAAGAACAAGGTGTTTGGAGAAGTGCCAATGCTAATTGAGCATCTGCTCTTCTCCAAACACTTTGTTTGTACTCATAGATGTTCTTTTAAGTTTTACCCCTTACTCTAATAACAATATTTCATCAGAACATGCCCAATCTGGCAATCTTGATGCTTTCAGCAGCACATGCAGTGATAAAATATGTAGAACAAAACATACCTTAACTTGTTTGAACAGTAAAAGTAATAGAGTTGTTTTAAATTTCACCATCCAGGCATCCGTTCTTCACTCAATACAAAATGAGAGAAAATAAAATTTACCAGAATAAGATAAAACAATGGGTAAACAATGCTATAAAGTCATCAGAGGTATGCAATTATGCAAGCATGGATAGAATGTTTTGCTGGCACATGGTGGAGTAGCATCCAAGATCTGGTGACACATGGATGTGTGTAGAGGTTTCCGATGATGGGTTTTCTGGTATGGGTCATGGAAGGACTTTGGGTTCAGATAAGGGGATTGTTTGCCTACAATCTGAGCAGGAACGTTCATCCGATAAAATTGGACCTTTAAAAAAATTATTAATGAGTATGCTCTAATACCATGTCGAAAAACAGGAATAATAGAACCCATAAACTTTTTTTTAGTTTTTAGTAATGCATAAACACTCATATCACAAGCGTTCATACGGATGTTGCTTTTTGATCCTTCGATGTCGGCTCCTCTTATCATTGTGAAGTAGAATTCATCAAATGTTTGATTGTTCACCCACCAATAAAAAATACTCATACCACATCAGTACACTTAACTTTGAAATGAGATATTGAGATGGCATGGAAAACATAGTACTGCTTTTTTAATTTTCACGCTGTTTTTTACTCCTATTTAGGGAGTTTTCTTAATTCAATGGTATAAAAACTTGAAGTTATTAAAATCACGCACATAATGTTGTTCACAAGAGATATGAGTCTGTATGATGTAAACGGAGAAAATATGCATGGCAAGTTGGCAATCCATAATTAAAACATAAAACATGTTGATGTGGAAATGAGCAAGAGAGCCGAGAATGGCAATGTCAAGGAGTCCTGGAAACAGCCGGCAATTGGAGAAATCAAGGTGAATGTTAATGCGGCTCTGGATATTGGAAGAGGAAAGAGAGCATGGGGCTGGGTCGCACGTGATAGTTCGGGTCTCTTCATCAGCGGAGGCAGTTACACGGTCACAGCGCATTGGAACGCGATTATGACAGAAGCTCTAGGACTCAGAGCGGTCCTTCAGTGGGTCATCTCCCAGAACTTGAGCAGAGTCAAAATCGAATCAGATTCACTAGTGGTGGTATCGAGGATTCTGCAGGAGGATGGTAACTCATATTTGGATGTAGTAATAGAGGATATAAGACATATTTTGCTTGATCAAGCAAATGTTGAAGTCAAGCATTGCTGGAGGTAAGCCAACAGGGTAGGGATGCCTTGTGGAAGGCGGATGGGCTTGTCTTGCATGAGTCTAGTCCGGTTTGTATTCTTAGCCATCTGGCAAACGATTGTTTAAATTAATATAGTTGGCGTTTTCCTTTAAAAAAAAACAGGATTCTAAATTCAAACAACTAATCGTCAACTAATAGGATCATTCAATGTGTCATTATTTATAGACATTGCTCTAAATAGGAGTAACAAAAAGATGATGTTTTAAAATAGGAGTACTATGTTTTTTCCCTAGCTAGGAATAATTACTACCATAATTGGAAAATAATGTCAATCATGACATTAATATAGTCATATTAATGCATGATAGTGTCAACATATGGCAGTATGATCATTTTCATTTTCATTTACCCCAGTGCCGCAAAGGCTCCCACCTACGGTGGGGTAAGGGGGGGTCGGATGTACGCAGTCTTACCCCTGTACTAAAGCATAGAGAGACCGTTTCTGGATGACCCATAGTGAAAATCACGTCCAAAATTGCATGGACTGACTGCTGCTTCTTAACAAAGAAGTGCAGACAGTTTAGTGAGCCATTTTGCTTTATTCCATCATAATCTCAAGCCAAAAAATAATGAATCTTTGGCTCCATTGCAAATGATGCAAATGACTGCTGCTTCATAACAAAGAAGCGCATGGCAGTATGATATCTGACAGTAATTTACTTCTATTTAGGGGGGAAGTACAGTACTCCTCTTTTGGAGTATCATGTTTTTTGTACTCTTATTTGGGAAATTTCCCCAATGTTTAAGGTTTCTGGTGGCTGGGCACAGTGGACCGCTGCTTAGCTATTAGTGAGTGGCGAATACTGAACACTTCGGATGAACCAATACAGAGGCTCATTTATGGAAGGGACTAAGGGAGGAAGAAAGAAGATTAGAGTTTTGTGTTCATGAAGAAAAACAAAAGAATAGAAAGAGGGTAGGGCTTAGACTTGAGCTCGCTGGAGCCAAATAACTTGAAATTATGCCACTCTAAAGAGGCCCAGATTCCAGACTTCCTCTATAAAATTAAAGCTTAAGCCTCAATAGCCTTTGCCATTTTAAGCCTCTGCGCCTCTGCCCTCAGCAACATCAAGGCATAGGCCTCAATTTTGTTGACTAGTTCTTAAGCATCATGCATGTTTTTCTCATACTTTTATGACTAGGTGGCTGGTGGCATAAGCCTCACATGCCTTATAAAAACTTGGTTTTATACACATCAAGGTCTTGGTCTATCGGTTACCCCTGCTGTATAGTTCTTTTACAATAGTAGGGCGAGTATACATTTTTATGGTGTACTCTGTTTGGTTCACATTTCATATATGGCTTTGTCATTAGACTTGTATTGGCATTGCATATCTCTATATTCTTAATGGCTATGTCCTGTAGATGAATTTGTGTGTGATGTAAGAAATTATATAAGAGCTCATCTTAAAAATATCACACATGGTCAGATGTTTTCTCTTATCCGTAATTTCTCATTTTGTCCACATGTGAAATTATTAATTGTGTGATGAAAGTAGTGTATGTGCTTCCAAAATCTAGTCCCAAGAATCTTATTCGATTTCTTACTGTACATCCTTAGTAACCTTTGATCTAACAACACATGCATATTACATATTAGTAACCCTTTATTTTAACATAGAAGCTGCTGTCTTCTGATTCCTAAAATGTAGTGCAATAATTTAAAATCTTAATCTTAGTGAAAGTTATGCACTATTTAATATGCAGTAGTTTTTTAAAAGTTGGGTTTCAGTATATGTGGTTTCACATTGCTTTAATCATTAGCACTACAAGATGTGGCAGGACCAGTACTTGGAAGTATGTGGGTGAAATGTTTGATAATTAGGTTTGGTCAGTTTATTTGTGTGGAAGTTTTGAAGCCAATATTTGATGAGTTAGTTAAAAGATCTAGGGTAGATCTCTCCAAAGTTACTCTTTTGGCATCCTAAATCATTGTCGAAGAAAGTTGGTTGTAAATTACCTTTTTTCAACTAACAAAGTTTCAGCTATGAAGGAAGTTTTTAATACCTGGGGTTAGAGCTAATCCTTTGGTTCTCCGTATATATTTATGGCTTGAAAGCACATCCAGGTTGTAAGATAGGAATTGTTACATGTGCGTTCGTTCATTTTTTTAAACCTACATCTTACCAACTATGGAGTGCTTGATTTCCGTTCAATTCCAAGTTCATTTGTCTCTTGTAGTGCAATGCTCTGAAATAATGTTTTTTTTTTGTTTTATGATGAAATTGTTGACACATTGCTGATGTTCACTAAATACAGTTTCTTGTTCATTGAAGGCTGGCTCAGAAGCACAAGAAATATATGGGACAAACACACTACCTGTTTGCTTTAGTAATGGTTCAAGCACACCACCTGATTTGTTTCCCGTGCCAAATAGACCGGCAGAAGCTGATTCTCTCAGACACTATATGGGTGACATGAATACATATTCTAAGGGGATGGATACCTGTTCAAATGCAGTGCTTCAAACAGACATAAAGGGACATGATACTGGCACCATGGTTCCATACTTGTATGGGCTTGAGAGTGTTTCAAACCATTCAGATGACCTATTTTCTTTGTCCAATAGAACTGACATCGTGCTGCAAGATACTGGTGACATGCTGCCATTATCATCTAGATTTTCTAATGGTTTTCTCATGACAAATGAGTCTGTAAAAGCTATACAGGAGGAACATGATGCTGGTGCTTTGAAGGTCAATTTGTCCTGGTATTCCGAGGGTGCTAGTCCCTCGATCGGTTTACTTACTGCATCAGATGCATCGACCGATTTGTTTACAACTACAAATGCATTCACTAGCATTATGCATGAATATAAGGTTGAAAGCAGTAATAAGTTGGGTGCTTGTGCTCAAAACAACTTTGTTTCAGATTTCTCTGAGACATCTGAAAGAAGAGATAGTAATGGGGATGACTTTGGAGAATTTACATCTGCATTGTCAGATAGTGCATCACCGCTGGAGGTATCGTAATGGACATTTTACATGCAAGATTTAGCAATTTTTATGTAGTTTGACTCAATGAGAACCCGTTTTCATGAATTTTTAGGATCCTTGTAGACTTGTAGTAGATTAAATGAAATCAACCAACTAAAATTCTAGAGCTTTAAATGTTTGATCTCTAGTCCATTGCTTTCTTTTATTCTGTTCTCGGTCTGCTTTCTTTTCTACAATTCTTTTTTATCGCTTTCTTTTCTACTCGATCGAAGCTTCCAAAGATCGCAACCAAGTTCAAATGTTCAATCTGTAGTCTACTTTTTCCTTCTTGCTCATCCTTGTATATGTGTAGAAGAGTTGACTTAAATGATTGGTCATTTTTATGATTTTTAGACTTCTTTCATGGAATTCCCGTTCTTGTTTGTGAACTATTAACTCATATTTATTCAAGAATTTTCATTTTTATCATTTGAATAGAATTATATGATCTCTTACAAGTGTTGTATTTTACGAATGAGGCTTATGTGTTGTGGTGCTGAAGCAAAATGCCTCTAACATTTTTAGTATGCTTAAAAACTTAATTTAGCCATGTTTTTCTAGTCTGATGTGTGATTGGTCCTGCTTCAGGTGAACATGTCAGGGTCTATTTTTGAAGGAACATTGCCTTTCTCTGTACCTGGCAATGAAGAGCTGGGCGTTGATGTCTCTCCTCCCATCAATGATTGTTTTACGTGTCATCAAATTGCTAAAAAACCAGAACCCGCTATTTCAATCAATGATATAATACCAAGTTTCTACAACCAAGTAGAGCACACCTCTTCTGTCAACTCGTTGGAAAATCTTTCTAATGTTGTAGAATCCCCTTATTTGGGTGACATCTCTAATTTGGTGAATGGTGAAGATGTACTGGGTGATAAATCATCAGAGCCTAAAGGTGCCATAACTCAAAGAAGAGCAGAAAGTGAGACATGCAGTTTGGATCATGGAGAACCACTTCCAAGCAGTTTGACCACCAGAAATCTGGATAGTTATGTCGACTTCTATTCAGAATTAAAGAAGGAGTTATGCCTTCACAGCAAACATAACCTTCCGAATCTTAAGGTTTGTATATGTATAAATCTCATCAACGTGGTTCTGTATGGGACTATGGGTATCTAATTACGTGTATCTTATATAGCCCTGGAGAAAGCTTTCTAGTTAAATAGTTGCTTTATACAATTATACCTTTCTCCACTAAGCCTTAGTTATCTTGTGTTTCTTACATGCTACATGCATTGCTCCTTGTATCAAATACTGTTTTATAGTTATAAACGCAATAAAATCAATAAGGGTTGTTTTTTTTACTTTTGTCAGAATGTTCTTATAAATCATATTATCTAATGCCATGCTCCATCCATCTATATAGAAAGGGTGGCAACTAGCAACCCTATATTTGTATCTCTGTCAATATATTTTTTTATCATTGTGTAGGGCGCTCACAAGGAATTAGACTATGAATATTCTATACGTGAAGGAGATAATTTAACAGTGCATCCGTCCTGGGAGACTTGTTTTCATGAGTTCATTGAGGTTCTTAAGAAACCAAAATTTCAAGTGCTAGAATCAGAATATAACATATCAAGAAGGCTCTCACAAGTATGTTGTCTGATTCTTATCGTTATGTTGAATAACAGAAATTTATTTCACAATTTTTATCTCACTATACACATCAATCACCAAAGACACATTGCACTTGTATACTTCTAGGCATGGGTAGGGTATACTGTAGACACCATCAACATGAGAAATACTACCTCCTCTCATACTTAGGTATGTTAAAGGACTCAACCCTTCACATACTTCTGAATCAATTCACCTCTCTACTTGAAGCACCATGTCTTCCAAAGTGTTTAGAAAGAAAAAAAACTGAAGCAAGTGGACATATTATCATATTCATAACTTGTACTTGTCTTGAAACTTCAACTTTGCTCTTTAATTAAAGGAAAACTTATACTTTCACTTTAACCTGAACTTGATGTCACATGACGCTTGATGATGAAGAAGATATTTGGAGACGAGCGAAATCATGGAATGGTGGACGGAAAGGCGATAAGAGACCGCAAACAGCATTTTAGGCAATTAGAGGGACAAAACCACGGTGTTGAAGCCGCAAGCTAAATCACAAGTTTGGATATAAATTTGAAGCACTTCTTGAGGTTTGGTTTTAGAGGGACAAAACCACGGTGGACGGAAACTGACTTTTTGTTCTGCTTTTTGAAAGAATCAGAAGCAGAAGACATCCCAAATGTCCCCATAAGTAAGCCTTTTTAAGCGTGAAATCCCCACTTATACCGGTCTACCACTACCTTTGTGTTTCCTTTTATCTTTTTGTTTTTAAAATCTAGATCTATTTTACCTCTTTTACTTGAGCCCTAAGATTTTACATCCCTTTTCTTCTTTTTCTTCTTTGTTGCCTTCTGCGTCTCCTTCGTTGCTTTTTTTGTCAGATGAAAATATACAACCATGTTATTGTATTTCCTTTCCACGGTTGTGAAGTAGCAGGCGGAATACCACACTCGAAATTAATGCGTACAATAGTTAAAGTTATAGGATTGACGAAGATGATTTTTTCCTCCTGAATTGTTCACACAAAACTATTTGCGCTTCTTTATTATGATGAAATATAGCAAAATGACTCACTAAATTGTTTGTGCTTCTTTAGTATGAAGCAACAGTCAGCCCATGTAATTTTCGACGCAATTTTCATTATGGGTCATGTGGTAACAGTCTCTCTGCGCTTTAGTACAGGCGTAAGGCTACGTACATCCGACCCCCCTTACCCCATCATCGGTGGGAGCCTTTGCGGCACTGGGGTAATGATGATGATGATGAATTTTTTACACATTGCACATGGGCAAAGGACAACGTTGGACGATTGTGATTTTTTCCAGTGTTTTGTCATTTTTTACTCCAATAGGTTTCTTCAACATGATTTGGAGACACAAAATGCCAATGAGTTGGCGAAAAAGTACTCTCATTCCCCTATTTAAAAATAAGGGTGATGTACAAGAATTTGTCAACTATCGAGGGACTAAGCTTATGAGTCACACAATGAAACTTTGGGAGCAATTGGTTCAACAGAGACTTCAAAAAACTGTGAAAATTTTGGAGAATCGGTTTGGTTTTATGTATGGACGGTCAACAATTGAGGTCATTCACCTTCTTAGACAAGTTGTGGAAAAGTATATAGACACTAAAAAGAATCTGCATTTGGTGTTCATTGACTTGGAAAAGGCATATGATAGGGTACCTCGAGAAGTCCGTTGGTGGGCCTTAAATAGAAAAGGCATATCACATAAGTATATCATTCATCATGGATATGTATGAGGCTTGTACTACAAGTGTCCGTACTAATGTAGGGAGGACCGCAGAGTTCCCTATTACTATTGGAGTGCACCAAGGATCGGCTTTGAGTCCTTTTTTATTTGCTATAGTCATGGATGAACTTACAACGTCAATCCAAGAAGATATATCGTGGTGCATGATGTTTGCCGATGATATTGTATTGATCGATGAGACACAATCTGGTGTTAAAGCAAAGTTGGAAGTATGGCGACAAACATCGGAAACCAAGGGTTTTATACTGAGCAAAAGCAAGACTTAGTATATGGAGTGCAAGTTTGGTGGAGGTAGAAGTAGTAGCAACAGTGAGATTACTCTTGATGGTAAGGAGATACCTGTGTGTGATATATTTTGTTACTTTGGCTCCATAATCCAGAAGGATGGTGAATTGGATGGAGATGTACCCCATAGAATTAGAGTTGGGTGGATGAAATGGAAGAGTGCATCAGGATTTATGTGCGATCAAGGTATGCCGACTACACTGAAAGGTAACTTTTATCGAACAACAATTAGGCTTGCATTAATGTATGGCGTAGAGTGTTGGGCGGTGAAACAATGTCACATTCAAAAGATGAGTGTGGCAGGGATGCGTATGTTGCGTTGGATGTGTGAACATACAAGAAAAGACTGCTTGAGGAATGAGATAATTAGACAAAAGGTGGGAGTAACACTTATAGAAGATAAGATGCAGGAGTCTCGTTTGCGGTGGTTTTGACATGTGCGTAGAAGATCGAGTGATGCACCTGTTAGACGACTTTATGGGTGGGGAGAAGAGACAGAGAGGTGAGGGAGGGGAAGACCCAAACAAACTTGGATTAGAGGAATCAGAACTGATATGTGTCTTCTTGGGTTGGATGACAGTATGACTTTGAAGCGAGCAAAGTGGAGAGCGTATATTCGTGTGGACGATTGACCTATTTTCTATCTTTCATCTCACCTTTTCTCTTTTTCTTTTATTGTTTGTCTTCTTTATCTTTTTATGTTCTTATGTTATTTTTATGTTCTAGCTTTCTTTATGCTCTTTTATCTTTTTAACTTTTATCTTTCTTATATTCTTATGTTATTGTTATCTTATATTTATTTCTTTATCTTATCCGTTTTATCTTCTTCTTGTGTGTCTTCTTTGTTTGACATCGATATCATGGATCGATTCATGTTAGTCGACCCCAAAATCTTTTGGGTTTATGGCTTGGATGTTATTGTTGTTGTAGGTTTCGTGAAATATATATCTATATCAAAGATGCTTTGAATTGAGTGGAAAGTGTGGTACACTTACTGTTTGCTGCACTTGGGTTTTTTACTCAAAATTTCTGTGTGTTAGGGTTTGAGTGTAATGTCATGTTGAACAGAAGACTAGTACTTAGTATTATGGCTTTTGACTTGCAACCTTATGATATCCGAAGATCGGTACACAGCTTATATAGGAAAATAATGGGCTATTAAGTGTAATATTGTAATGGCCTAGCCCCTTAGGAGTCCTACTACCATACCTTAACTATCTTACTATTCTTTAACTGCTCTAAGTGTTGTACTGTTGCAGATAATGACTTGTTTATTTGCAAATTGCAAATGACTTGTTCATGACGCCAGCAGCACAACCCAAAGGTTGTGAGGTGAAAATGTTATGTGCTTAATTGCGAAGGGGTCAGATCGGACATGTATGAGTATGTTGTGTTGGGATTTGTTGAGATTCTGAACTTCATAAGTTCGGATACCTTTATGTAATGAGAGTATCCATAGTCAAAATTAAACAAAATAATTAAGGACTTTTTCTCTTCGCCTGATTGAATGTGACCTGATATGAATTTATGGAGATCTGCTTTGTGATGTGATGTGATTTGAATGTTTTTAATCTTATCTAGTTTTCTTGTTGGACTAAATTATCTCATTTGATCGCATTTGAGCCTGTGGTACCTAGAGAAGTCCTTTGATGGGCCTAAACTAAAAAGACATATCACATAAATATATCAGCATCATCATAGATATGTATGAGGATTGTACTACTAGTGTTCGTACTAGTGTAGTGAGGATTGCAAAGTTCCCTACTACTATTGGAGTGTCCAAGGATCAACTTTGAGTCCTTATTTGTTATAGTCATGGATGAACGTACGAAATCAATGCAAGAAGGTATCAATGGTGCATGTCTTTTTCCGATAATATTGTGTTGATTGATGTAACACCATCGAGTGTTGTAGCAAAGTTCGAAGTATGATGACAAACTTTGGAGAACAAGAGTTTTAGGTTGAGTCGGAGCAAGATTGAGTATATGGAGTGCAAGTTTGGTGGAGGTAAAAACATTGGTAATAGTGCGATTACCTTAGATGATAAGGAGATACAAGTTAGCGATATGTTCCGCAATCTGGGTTCAATAATTCAGAAGGATGATGAACTAAATGGAGATATATCACATAGAATCAGAATAGGGTGGATGAAATGGAAGAGTTTCATCATTTCATTTTCATTTACCCCAGTGCCGCAAAGGCTCCCACCTACGGTGGGGTAAGCGGGGGTCGGATGTACGCAGTCTTACCCCTGTACTAAAGCACAAAGAGATTGTTTCCGGATGACCCATATTGAAAATCGCGTCCAAAATTGCATGGACTGACTGTTGCTCCATAACAAAGAAGCGCAGACAGTTTAGTGAGCCATTTTGCTTTATTCCATCATAATCTCAAGCCAAAAAATAATGAAATGGAAGAGTGCGTCGGGATTTTTATGTGATTGATGTATGCCGACTAGATTGTAGGGTAATTTTTAACGGACAACAATTAGACTTATGGTATAGAGTGTTGGACAGTGAAATAATGTCACATTCAAAAGATGAGTGGGGTTGAGATGCGCATGTTGTGTGGACATATTAAAAAAGAACGCTCAAAGAATGAGATAATTAGACAAAAGGTGGAAGTAGCACCTATTGTCTATTGAAGATAAGATGTGAGAGTCTCTATTGCGGTGGTTTGACCATTTGCGTAGAAGACCGAGTGATGCACTTCTCGGACGAGGAAAAGAGATGCAATGGAGAGGGAAAGGAAGATCTAAACAGACGTGGATTAGATGAGTCTTAAGTGATATGTTTCTCCATGCATTGGATGAGAGTGTCTTTGGAAAGAGCAAAGTGGAGGAAGAATATTTGTGCGGCGGATTAATCTCTTTTCATCTTTTTTATCTTTTTATCATTTTTAGCCGACCTCAATATCTTTTATGACCAATGGAGTTCTTATGTTCTTTATTTTTATCCTTTTTATGTACTCCCTCCGTCCCACTTAAAGGTTCTCGTCCACTATTCTCCGGTCAACGTGCATTGTTCTTAATCTTTTACTTTATATATCTAACTTTTATCAAATTTAAATTTTCTTGATCAGGCTTTGTAGCGGTTTTAATGTAGTTTCTGAATATGTAGATTTTATTTACTAAAAATAATTCTACTAACGACAGGGATCAGTCAACTTTATGGTCAGTCAAACGTCGTAAACCGTGTGGGAACGTTTAAATGGGATGGAGGGAGTAATATTTTTATGCTTTTTATCTTATCCTTTTTATCTTATATTTTTTTATCTTTTCATCTAATCATTTTTTATCTTTATCTTATTTTTATCTATATCATATCTTGTCTTATCTTTTTATCTTTATCTATTTATCTTTCTTATCTCTAATCTTTTTTAGCTCTGATTTCGTGCGTCTATTCATATCTTATCTTTTAACTGACCCCAAAATCTTTTGGGACGAAGGTTTGGATGTTGTTGTGGCCTGATATGGTCGTGTTTGATCTGATTAAAATAAAAACAAATTCTAGTTCAACAGAACAACACACAAATTCTAGAATGATATATGCAAGAGCCAATTATACAACAGCTAAATTACTGAATCATTACCCTACTAAAGCCCTATCCATCTACAAATCATCTAACAAAATAATAATATGGAATGTGCAAGGAGTGAGCTTTCTGTCTCTATGAAGGATAAGGTGCCTTAGTTTGTGCAGATTCTCAAACTGCCTTAGTTTGTGCGTAGTATTTTCTTTAAAGAGTTGTTTACTGGTTTGCCTTAGACTAGTATTTTCTTTATCATCTCTCTTTGGAATCAGCTATAAATATTTAATGCTGAGCTACACGAAAATTCAAGCTACATGTTGTTGCATAGGTATGGGCATGGTTTATTTGATTCTTGGCTTATTTTGACATTTCTTTCCTGAATACAGATGGAAAGTGATTTTAGTTCATCAGTTGAGCTTATTAGCCATGCTAGCATAATGCTGAATCTTTTGACATTGGTGTCAGTCAAGGACCAGCTGTTCTATGTTTCAATATGGTACACAATTGTATCTGTTTGCACTCGAGAGTTGCAGCATGGTACCAATCTTTGGAAGAAGATATTGGATAACGATGCTCAGAGTCAGATATTGTCCAATACTAGAGGTATTGGTGAATCTTTTAATTCATTACCCCCTCCGTATTTTAAAGTTTGCTACACTTCCCTTTTAGGAGGTATTTAAAAGTTTGCTACACTTCCTTTTTGATAAGTTTTTCCTTTAAAAATACTCGATTACCCTTACTTTTTTTACCTTGTATCTTCTTTTTCATACCTTTTTATTCTTTCTTCTACTTTTTGTATTCATTGCCCCTACTATTTCATCTTTAATTAATGTGCTCAAACCTATTGTAGTGAACTTTTAAATATGGAGGGACTGGGAGTACATAATTTCGTAAGCCTGCCAAAACTGGAAAGAAAGAGCTTTTGTATCATTGTTACTACTAGGAGCTTTTTATTGGACATAATGGGATACTTTTCTCTTAAAGAATTACGGAATTACCCAAGTGATGGTTAGTTTAATATTTGATTAAGTGTGTTATTGGAATTATCATTACTCTAATAACAGGAAGGAAATACATTTTGGGCCTTGTTGAGATTTACAAGGTTGCTGTAGTGCTCGAAGCTTCAGTCAAGCTTTACCAGCCATGGACTTGGTTAAGTTCCGTTGATTTCACAGGCATCTATTCTCTTCTAGATGAGTGCCATGCTCTATGGTCTAGTTCAGGACTTGGGCATGCTATCTTGTCATCAGATCTTGAATCTGCCAGCACCATTGGACTGTGTCTTAACAATATCAAGTTTATTCATGATATTGATGCATACACTCTTCAAAAGCGTCTTTTCAGTCAAAATGATATTACTTGTGGACTATCACTCTTAACTTCAGAAGTGTTACATGGTAAGCGAATCCTGAGTCCAATTTTCAATTTTGGAGAGTTCTATGGTGGCTGCCCCTTTGGCATATTAAGATGTACTCCCTCCGCCCCCAAACAAGTTCACAATAAAGTAAATCTGTGGTTGAAACTTGTTTATATGAGGGCAGGGAACAGTATCAATAGAGTACTCCCTCTGTCATACTTAGGGGTAGACCTGGTCCCGGGACTGTCCAGTTATTAAACCGGGACTGGAAAATAAGGTTCTGAGACCGAGACTGGACCAGCGGGAAAGAGTTCCCCGGCCTCAAACTTTGGCCGATTCGGTCCCTGTTCCGCTCCCCCCTTTTGCCTTTGAACCATTGGAAAGCATTTTAAAAAGCGGGGTGTATTTAAAAGCTGAAAAGGGCAGGGAGGGGATTGGAGCGTTAAAAAATATATACGGAGTATAAAATAACAGGATCGGACCGGGACCGAGACTGAGACGGCGGGGGGCAGAACAGGCTTGCAACAGGTTATGGTCCGAGGCCTCCCAATTCTTTTTAGGACCGGCCAGTCTGGGACCGTGTCAACTCCTTGCTGGACATTGTCAGTTATGTTTATCATAAAGTTAATTCCTCCTTGACAATATTTTAAACTTAGTATTTGAAATTTTGATTTTTAGAGCTGCACTGGGAGTTGTATTTAATCACAAAAAGTAATTATCTTGACTTCATGAGTGATGACCGTGAAGTGATGAAGTCTAGCGGGGACGAAGAGAGTATTATATACTCCACATTATTTTTGGCAAGTATAGGTTATCAGAAAAAACATAAATACCATTATTTTTTCAGTGCATATCCAACTTTTCCTATCCTTCCAGTATCTTTCCTACTTTCTAGTTCTTGTATTCTATTTACTACCACAGCTTTAAACTAAATTCGCGCAGAAACCTAGTGTTACTTTCTTCTCAACTCTATTACGTGGTAACTTTCAGAATTAGGAATGAAGCTTGTCTTATGGAATGGAGAGCATTACTTTGTCACACTTGCAAACATCTGGGCGAATCTCATAAGCAATGATCCTCCTGAGTTGCCACCACGATTATGTTTTGCAAGTTGAGAAAATACTCTTTCTTTGCAAAGCTATACAAGTTTTTTAAGGAGTACAATTCCAAGCAGAAAACTAGTGTATTGCATCCTGAATGAACTAGTTGAGTGTAAGGTCCAAGGCTATAAGCAACCTAGTCCGTATTTAGGAACCATGGTCAAATATTAGTGAAACGTAAGTACTTTTTTGTTCTATAAAGAATTGTCATTCTTTTCCAGGATGTGTAGTTAGTGTTTTTTCTGATGTATTTGATTTATGTCCATGTGGATTCGGGGTTGTATGAGAGTTTTTTTGCAAGTGTAAGTGATCACTATAGGTGTTCTTTTGTCAAAAAAGAATATAAATAAATAAATAAATAAATAAAGCTTGATAAATTTTCCTGCAACTGTCCAGACTTTAGATAAGCACACTTTCTATTCTCCTTTTTAATGTCTTACCATCCAACGAAATAACAGCTACTTTAATGGTCACTAGTCGGCTAGTCGCTACCCAATGCCCCAAGCAAGATCCACAAATGTGCGTCCCTGTGAAAAGGCAGAACTGAGAAAATATATGCAGTGGGCAGGCATTGGTTTTGGACCTTTGCCCTTTGGTAAGAAAAATAAAAAAACTACTACGTATATTTTAATTAAATACTTCATGTGCAAGTATTTACATTTCTTGTGTTTTCCACCATCTGAGAGAAAAGAAGACACTCTTTAGGTAGGGATGGATTCGGGCCCGGCCCGGGCTGGGCCTAGGCCCGGTCGGGCCGCCGGTTCAAGAAAAGTGGGCCCGGGACCGGCCCGAGGGTTGGACGGGTCCGGTTCGGGCCGGGCCACCCGCCCGGGTCACGGGTCGGGTCCGGTTCGGGCCGGGCCGGTTAATTTTTTTTTATATAATTTATATTTTATAGTTTATAGTTTTATACGAGTATTAAAAACAAACTTCAATTGCATTTATTTGAAATGAAATAGGAACTACATTTGAAAATTAAAACAAACTTTAAGAGAAACATTTTGAAAATTGTAATCAATCGGAACTTCCTACACCTCCCGATCCTTTGGCTTTGTCACATGACTTCATATGCTTGATTGCCATCCCGAATCCGCATGAAGTCCCCATGATACATTTTTTTTCGCACCATTTGCAAATTGCGTACCACATCCCGGTCTTCGGGTCCTTCTGCTTATCAAAATTATACCGTATAATGGCATTTTGATTTTCCATCTTAACTTCTTGGAGAAGAGAATTAGAGAGTAGATATATAATATATTGGAGAATAAGAGAATTAGAGAGTAGAGAGTTAAGAATAGGATTTAGGAAGAATTGGAGAAGAGATATGAAAAAATGTTTAAGATTAGGAGTATTTATAGGTTTTTTTACCCCCCCCCCCCACCCCCCCTACCAGCCAACCCCCCCGGACCCCCCCTTTACCCCACCCAACGGCTATATAGCCGTTTGGGTTGTCCCCAGCCCCACCCCCAACGGCTAGTAGCCCAAGATTAATTTTTTTTTTAAAATAGGACCGGACCCGGGCCGGCCGGGCCCGGACCCGGGCCGGCCGGGCCGGGTCACATTATTCCAGCACCGAGCCCGCCCCGCCCCTTCCCACCGGTTCGGGCCCATACCCGGTCCCGGACCGCCCAACCGGGCCGGTCCCGGGCCCGCACAGTACCGGGCCGGGTCACGGGCCGGGTGGCCCGAACCGAATCCACCCCTATCTTTAGGTGGATGATATATAATATGGAGTACATAGTATGTGTTTTCCTAAATATTATTAAAATACGGAGTAATATTTATGGATAAACTTGTGATTAAAGTAAGTTTAAGTGTAATTTCATGATCATAATAGAGTAAAATTGAATATTATCACAGTTGGTGAAATCTCTTAACAAATCATTTGTTTAAGAGATTCCATTTTTGTTAACCAAATTCATTTTGGTTTATGTATGTACAGGGGTGGACTCGGGCCGGGCCGACTGGCCCGGAACCGGACCGGTCCGCTACTGTGCGGGTCCGGCCTGGCCCGGTGAACCGGTTGGTTGGCCGATTCAGGCCACCCGGCCCGGTGGGATCTCGGTTCGGGCTCGGGCCCTTCAAAAGGTGAACCGGCCCGGTCGGTTCAGGCCCGGACCGGGCCAATATTTATTTTATTTGTTTTTTGAATTTTTTTTAAGTTTTTGGGTTGGGTTGGGTATTTTGGGCCATTTGAGGTGGTTAGGGATAGTTTGGGGGTGAGGGGGAGGGTTGGGGGTTAACTAGGAAAAACCCAAAAAAAAAATAACCGAGGCCCAACCTGGCCCGGCCCGGACCCGGGGGTTACCCGGGCCGGTTCCAGGCCTCCCATACCTTGAACCGAGGCCTGGCCGGTTCAAGGCCCGAACCGAGTCCATGCCTATGTATGTATTAGTCCATTAATGATTGAATATGATATGACAATGATACTCGAACATGACGTTGATATCAGACAAGGGGTGCTAATCGAGCGAGTCGAGCTCGAGTTCGGCTCAAATCAAATCAGTCTTGATAAAGTCGAGTTCAAATCGAGTCAAAAAATTTAATAGTTTTAGTTTTTATATTAGTGTATAGATTCAGATAATGTAGAAGTTTGTATAGGTAAATATTAGTGCATTGAAATTTTTCAATGCATACTTATTTCCAACCAAAACTAAAAGCATTGGGTTGAAAACTTGAAATAAATGTTCCTAAGTCCTAACGAACATTGCATAAGAGCATCTCAATTCATGATCTCTAATAATCACTTTTTCTATGGTTCTTACCATTTAAATATTATTATATAATTAATTCTAAAATAATCTTAAAATTCATTTATATCTCTCAATCATCATCTTTAAATAATCTGTTTTTTCTCTGTCCTGCATTAATTTCTATTACATATACTTTTCAAATAATATTAAAATAATCAGGATTCATATTTTGATCTCAGATTATTGTAGTAAATATTCTCATCAAACAATCTATGTTACACAATGATAATTCTCTAAAAAAACTGCAATGTCACTAATTTAATCTCATAATAATCCTGCCAATGAGGATGACCTAATAATGAACTACTCCCGTAAGAAGTTGAAGTCCTCGTTTTTACTAGAATAAAGTTAAGGAAATTTTGACTTTACACTTCACTTTTTGAGTTATATTGGATGGTACATCTCATTTTCAGAATCATTAATGTATGTACACCATTAGCTTCAAATTGTGAAGAAATAGGATGCAAAAGCAAATAATTTTATGTAAATGTGATGCATACATTAAAGATTCTGAAAATTAGCTGCAAAGTTCAATATCAAATTGAAACTCTACCATATACCAAGTAATAACTAGTGTAAATAATTGAAACTTTCATATTTATAAACTACACTATAGTAATATTGGATAACAAAATCAAATACGAACACTACAAGAACTAGGGCCTCTTTGGTAACGGCTGAAATGGCTGAATCTGCTTAAATGGTTGAACTTGCTGAAGTAAAAGTGTTTGGTAAGTATATTGGTTGAAATGACTGATTAAATGTAAAATTACTGATGGATTATAAGGTATCCAAGTATATATAAAATGGAGAGATTGGAGCTTAATAATATGGAGAAGAAGATGAATAGTAGTGATGTGTATTGTGAAGTTGAGACTTAGGTTTACAAGAACTCCCTAAGGGAGTATATATAGAAGAAATAATGGGCCGGGCCGCTAATATGGGCCCGGTAGCCCAACTACATAAAAGACTAATCTAGTACATAGTTACATACAAATGACATACAAGCAGTACAATAATACAAATGATATCCGTAAGATGTGTGTGGGCCGCTGTCCGGACTCAATAGTCATGAGACCCGGGGGTCTGAGTCTATATACTCTATCAATTACCATAAAGGGTATTATTTTTTATGTCAAAAAATGAGTGTGAACTTTGCTAATAAATTGTTTTTGCTTGATTAGAACTCTTAAAAAATCTACTCTGCCATCACGGAAGCACATCAATCCAGATAATGATGAATGGAGGAAAAGGCAATTTGCAAGCCTAATTTAAGCATTTAGTTATGTCTCAGTTAGAATTTGAGGCACTTCAAGTTAGTTCTAGAATTAAAGAAGTTAGATAGCTATGTCACAGCTTATCTTTGTGAATATGGAACAGCCGAGCAAAAGTCTTCAATTTGGATAAGAAACTATGAGGCAACGATATATTCCAAATGTAATTAAATGACAAAGTAATCTTTACAATAGCCAACAATGAAATAATAAATTTCAGCTTAAAAGTAGCCTTAGGTTTGTTTTTTGAGCGGCAAAAGATACAAATATACCCCCTGTAATATGGGTGTGAGAATGAATATAACTTTGTTCTATTTTTGGAACAAATATACCCCTGAAGCATATATGGAAGTGCATATATACCCTTGAACATTTAAAAGGTGTAAGTGCACAAAAGAGTATATACAAATATACTCTTTAGGGGTATATATGTACTTCAATATAAACTTTAGAGGTATATTCGTTACGAAAAATAGAACAAGTGTATATTTGTTCTCACACCCATACTACATAAGTATATTTGTACATTTTCCTTTTTTGAGCTGATAATAATTTTCAGCCAAATCAACTTGTTTGAATAAGAGTATATTTGTTTTCACACTCATTCTACGTGATTATATTTGTACATTTTCCCTTTGTTGAGGTGATGATAATTTTCAGCCAAATCAACATGATGTGGTAAATTGTGGAAAAAGAATCTATGTCATCCTTTTACCATTTATTTGAAGAGTGGTGACTTGTGTCAAACCACTTCCTCTAACAAAAAGTTCTTATTTTGTCTAAAAAAATGTTAAGCGTGGGCCACTCCCAATATTTGGCCCGCAAGATAGGAAAGCCCTTGGCAAAACCGCAAAGCACAGTCGCATGGAGTCGATGATTGTACTCCCTCCGTCCCGAATTGAATTACAACTTTGATCGATACAAGGATTAACAAATGATAATAAATGATCTTGTTTTTTACACTTTTGTCTATCTTTCTAAAAGTAGATGTCTTTAAATTAATGAGGAAAAAGTAAAATATGAGTAAATTTGTCACTTTATTTTTATTTACCTACCTAAAATAGAAAGTTGAAAACTATTTTGCTATAACCAAAACAGGAAATTTTGAAAATCAAATTCGGACTTTTGCGGAATCCCTGCAATTTCTTAACATGGACTTTTGGAAAGGGTACAAACGTACTTTCACGCCGAGAGTTTCCAAAACCCAAGCGCCATCATTGATGAGAGGCCTTTCCCTGTCGAACTCTCCCCAAATCATTCGCACTCGAAAACCCCACAAATTCGTGGAGAATCTCTTTGCTATCGTGCGCCATATCTGACACTTCCGACTAACAAGCTTTTACTCTCTCCACGACAATCTACGACGATCGCGGTTGCAGATGGGCAGTGCCGGCGGAAGTGGCTCTGTGGGTGGAGGCGTGGCGCTGCAGTCGCCGGCGATTACGGAGGCCGCAGAGGCGCTTTATTCGGGGGCGAGGATATCGGTGTGGTGGGACATTGAAAACTGTCAGGTTCCAAGGAGCTCTGATCCGCATGCAATTGCGCAGAACATAAGCTCTGCCCTGGTGAAGTTGAACTACTGTGGTCCCGTCTCCATCTCCGCCTACGGAGATACTACCAAGATCTCTCCTTCGGTTCAGCAGGCCCTTAATAGCACCGGCATAGCCCTCAACCATGTCCCCGCTGGTATGTGTATGTGTATATTAGTTATATGTGTGTAGCATGTAGGGATAAGCTTCTAAAAAAATAAAACGTAGTGGTTGTTATTTGTACAACCAAGTAGTAAGGATTTTGAGTTTTCTGGGGAGAATGATATTGTATCCGTATGGGTTCTTGTTTTGATTTTGGATTTGCTGCAAGCCTGCAATTCTAGGATTTCAGCGCATTCTGTTTTGTTTCTGTTTGTTTCTGAATAATAATTACTTATCCGTATTTAATCCTGGGGTTGGAGCCCATGAAATACGGTTTGAGTCCCAGACCCTACTTCCCTATTGGACTTACTGGGGTTCTTCGATTTGTTTTATTAGTTTAGTTTAGATGGTATTGATGAGTTCACATTTATGTTTCATATGGTTAATCCGTCGGTGGCTTTCTGCTCATTATGAAATCTGGTTAGTAACTTAGGAGCCCTCACAATAGAAGAACTTCCGTTCACTTTTTTTCATTATATTTTTTCTTGCTGGATTTAAAAAATAAAAAAATGTTGCAGTATATTTTGGGGATTGCCAACATATGCCATATTGACTCTTACACTGCATACTCTGTCATTCTTTCATCATCCTATATTTGTACCCAAAGAAATCTGCTTGATAGTAATATGCAGACACCATCAGGTTT